CTCAAAGAATTTCAATATAAAATTATTTCAATACGTTATATTCAGTTGCTTCAAATCTAGACATCTTCCTAGAATTTCTACAAAACATATAAAGCTTAAATATAATTAATAAAAAGATGTTGCTTTAAGAAAGACATTTCATCTGAATGTGTGGTCTCCAATTGTTCAAATGCGTCTTACAAGTGTGAAACATATTAAATTTTAGTTAAGCAGTTATCATTCATCTTCGTTGATTCCAAATAATAATTATTAATTATAATTAATTCCAAATAATCACTCTAATATTGAAACTTTCATTGCTAAATGAGATCTGCTCACATTGATGAGCACTTGTAACAAGAAGCCAACACAAGCTAATAAAATATTAATACTAACTAGTTACTTCTTAAATGTACATCCAATCATACTTTCAAGTAGATGAACAAATAAAAGTCATTATCGCCTTTCGCATATGTTGTATGCTTCAAGTTGTTTCAAGTTGTAAAAATTAAAAATAAAAAAAGTTCAACTTGATAAGCGGACACAAAAATAGAAAACCAAATAAGGATCTTTTTATTCTAAGGGTCTCACTTAACCCTCTGTTAGTCGCTCGCCAAACGGGGGTGATTAAACTAGCACCCCCCACACTGACCAACTCGCGCGACTATGCTGTTAAGACAGAGGGTTAAAATAAGTCATAAAGAGGTTAGTACGCCTATGGGCTATGGAGAGTTGAAGCTGTGGTGATGATAGTAAGCTAGTGGTAGTATGCTATCATCCCTGGTAGAGTGCATTACAATGATCTTTTCCTACTAACTACCAAGGTATTCGATATTGTATAAGCATAACAATAAAAGAAAATATTTAAATATTACTAAGATAAATTAGAACCTAATTAAGCATCATAATTTGTATACACAGTTTTAAAGCCAGCCGGCTAGCGTTATACCAGTACTTATAATTAATAACTTAAATACAGTCAACAATAATTAGAGATTTATCTATCACAGAAATGAGGAGTTATAGTGAGATTTTCTGTAATTATTTATTTATTAGATTTTATTTAAATATGGTTTAGTGTATTAAAATAATATTGTTTTTGAATTCCCAATAAGTTTTCTTCTCACTTCATTCCACATTGAACTTAATCTATTTTTTCTAAGACCAAAACCAAAATATAAATATAATTAAATTATAATTTTTTGTATACTTCCTAAAAATGTATACTATAGTTGAAGTTTGAAACACAATATCATTTTAATTCAAACATTAAACTATTAAGGTCAAAAATAACTTTAACGTAAAAGAGCACTTGGGCATCTTTTATTTTCATTTTTTGTATCCACAATAACTTTCATTCAATGAACACATTATTTTATTGTCATGAGATAAAGCCGATAGAACTCTGATCATATTTTTTCACATTTTTTTCATTTTTTTTTTTTGATTCTTAAAACTCATTTGCCTGCGGGCGCCCATGCCCCCTTCCCATTTTTATTTTTAAAATTGTTTCTATTTCATATTTTTTTTTTTTTTTGATTCTTAAAAAACATTGGCCTGCGGGCGCCCATGCCCACTTCCCAGTTTAATTTTTAAAATTTATTCTATCTGCTATTTTCATATATTTTTTTTATTTTGATTCTAAAAATTCATTTGCCTGCAGGCGCCCCCATTCTCCCCTTCCCATTTTTATTTTTAAAATTGATTCCATCTCATTTTTTCATTTTTGTTTTTATTTGGATTCTTATAATTCTTTTGTCTGGGGTTGCCAATGCTCCACTTCAATTTTTTTTTCTATAATTTAACTCAAGTTCAATTGTTTAAAAACATGTTTTTGAATCTTGATAAAAGGTTTGTGCCTACTAAATATTTAATGTTTCATAATCGTATTATTGTAAATAAAGCTATGAGTTTAGGAATACTGATATTGTAGACTGCAGTCTTTAATATTTATTTTTAATGCACATTTTTTCATAAATTTTTTTTTTTGATTCTTAAAACACATTTACCTGCCTGCGCCGATGCCTCTTTCCCATTTTTATTTTTAAAATTGATTCTATTTCATATTTTTTTTTTTTTGATTCTTAACATTCATTTGCCTGCGGGCACTCATGCTCCCCTTCAAATTTTTTTTTCCACAATTTAAATCTAGTTCAATAATTTAAAAACATGTTTTTGAATTTTGATAAATAGTTAAAGTGCACTATAAATATTCATTGTTTCACCATCGAATTATTGTAAATGAACCCATGAGTTTAGGAATACTGATATTGTAGACTGCAGTCTTTAATATTTATTTGTAATGCACATTTTTTCATAAATTTTTTTTTTTTTGATTCTTAAAACTCATTTGCCTGCGGGCGCCCATGCCCCCCTTCCCATTTTTATATTGATTCTATAATATTTTTTCATATTTTTTTTTTTTTTTGATTCTTAAAACACATTTACCTGCTTGCGCCGATGCCTCCTTATTCCCATTTTTATTTTTAAAATTGATTCTTTTTCATATTTTTTTTTATTTTGATTCTTAACATTCATTTGCCTGCGGGCACTCATGCTCCCCTAGTCCCCTTCAAATTTTTTTTTCCACAATTTAACTCTAGTTCAATAATTTAAAAACATGTTTTTGAATTTTGATAAATAGTTAAAGTGCACTATAAATATTCATTGTTAAACCATCGAATTATTGTAAATGAACCCATGAGTTTAGGAATACTGATATTGTAGACTGCAGTCTTCAATATTTATTTGTAATGCACATTTTTTCAAACATTTTTTTTTTTGATTCCTAAAACTCATTTGCCTGCGGGCGCCCATGCCCCCCTTCCCATTTTTATTTTTTAAATTGATTCTATAATATTTTTTCATATTTTTTTTTTTTTTTTGATTCTTAACATTCATTTGCCTAGGGGCACTCATGCTCCCCTTCAAATTTTTTTTTTCACAATTTAACTCTAGTTCAATAATTTAAAAACATGTTTTTGAATTTTGATATATAGTTATAGTGCACCATAAATATTCATTGTTTCACAATCGAATTATTGTAAATGAACCCATGAGTTTAGGAATACTGATATTGTAGATTGCAGTCTTTAATATTTATTTTTAATGCACATTTTTTCTTAAATTTTTTTTTTTGATTCTTAAAACTCATTTGTCTGCGGGCGCCCATGCCCCCCTTCCCATTTTTATTTTTAAATTTCATTTCTATTAATTTTAATTATTTTTTTTGCTTTTGATTCTTTAAATCAATTTGCCTGCGGGCGCCCATGCCTCCCTTCACATTTTTTTTTCTATATTTAAACTCCATTTCAATTATTTAAAAACATATTTCAAATTTTGATAACCAGGTGGTGCCATATAAATATTTATTCGTTTCTTTCCTAATCTACTATTTTCATGTTTGTGTGAAATAAAATATATGCTAATGCCACAAGGTCCTCTGTCCCACTAGTTTTAATAAATAAAAAATATTGTTCAGATGCGACTGCTAGTGCCATCTAGATGGTTATTGTTCGACTTCAATCGGTGCGATAATATTCAAACAGATGTCGCAGATGGTAGGTCAATGGAACATATTGATTATAAAATACTTAAAACTATTCTTCTATCTCTTTTACTGATACTTTAGTTTGGTCGACGATTCAACAGCTTTTCCAAAATGTTTCTCGTTGATGTCCTTATTTTGACTCATTTTGAGAATTATTAAATATCTAAATTCATTAAGAGATGCACCAATTTTAAATGAAAAATGAAGATACATAACTACATAAGTAATGTTTCAGTTGTCGTAACACTTTTTTCGACACATGTATGAATATAAGACAATGGTCAAATTCCACTTAAATCAAATTTAATGGCATATCTTGAAAATATACAAAATGATCTTAAAATATTGAAGTAATACAATTGAAATTTATCAAAATAAAAATAGAATTATTTGATGAACTTACAGTATCATATTAGAAATTACGTAAAACAAAATGAGAAAAATTCAATCCTATAGTACTTTATTAAAAGTATATCGCATATGAGAGTTTAATAATTGATATTTTGATTTCTGAGTGGTGCGATTATTGATGTATAGATGTGTGTTTTTTGTTTTTTTAGGTGGGGGGGGGGGGTTAGTGTTAAGCTTCGATTTTTTACTTCAATAACTTTCTGGTGGGAATGTCAATCTAGTTGGTAAACTGAGTGACCAAAATTGAAAATTGAAAATAGTTTTCACAATCATTGAGAAAAATCAAAGGTAAAGGATAATACATACGGGTTGCGGGGCCCCCATCAACAAAACAATTCTTCAAAATAATAAAAATATATTCAAAACATTTAAACTATTTTAATTAAATTCTACATTAAAAATGTATTATTTTTGACTTTAAAACTTATATAAAAATAAAACTAAATATAAGATTTTTTTTTGCTTCTTTTGTAGCAAAGTCTTCTGTCTTATCAAACCTTAAATTTTGTAGAACTACATCATTTCTTGTAGAAAAAAATCGTTAATTTCGACAGATTATCTTGTGTTTGTGAAAATTTATTTTTATTATTAATTATAGTCAAAATAAATATTCTCGAGTCTCAAATAGGGGAAGGGGAGTTAAGGGGTATTAGCACTTCCAATTTTATTGACCCTCGCCTTAGTAACACCATCAAATCATTGTTTGTGTTAATGTAACGATAATACTCCTTGCTAAAAAAAGAGAACAGTTTATCATCAGACAACAGGCTATTATAGAGTTTAATGAATAAAACAATGTTACCTTACAGTTGACATTTTGTCAAGTTCAAATCTATTTATTGAACATTATTTATTATGATCCAATATTTTTCTAGTACCTACTAAATCTGGCCGTCGCGGTCGGCTACATTATTTAATTATTATCACGTTTAGCGGCTACTCGAGGCTACGACAATAGTATCAAGGAGTATTTACTGATATAAACATTCCTGTGCCCACTTCTAATTCTGACAAAAACCTAATATTACGATTAATGAATCATTTGTCAGTAGGTGCTCACTTATGAGTTTCAAGTTACATTACATGTGCCATATGGCTTATACTAAAGTTTATTTGTCATATATTTTGAATAAAATAGAAGAAAGATGTTTTCAATTTTTAATAAATTAAAATTTAATAACTGTAATTTCAGTACAACTTCTATTAAGTATACGTTAGTTATAATTTATACTTCACACTTAATTTAGTTTTCTAACATCAATTGTTTTGAATAACAATTTGACATTTAGAACAGCAAAGTGAGTAAGATGTGAATGACAGCAGTTTCATTTCCAGTCGATTTAGGAGATTTGAATACCGGACATAAGCAGCCTGTGCAACAAGTTAGTGAAGACAGTAGACACTTTCAAAGAGAAAGGCTTTCAAAAATCGAAAAAAGTATTATATCTTATGTATTATAGTTTTATTATACTTAATATTACTTTTTTAACTATATTATAAATTATAATTATTATTAATTATAAAATAGTAATGAAGACTGTATCAATTTCAGGTGGCACTCACACTGCCAATTAGTTCTGCCACATATTGTGAACTATCGTTGTCGGTGGGTCGTCAGTCGATTTTTGGGATAGTGAATATTTTTTTGAATTATATAGAGTCCAAGAAATTTATGTTAGGTACCTTTTTATTAAAAGTACATTTTAATTACATTAATTATATTTTTGTTCATATTAATTATAAACCTGTTAAATACAAAATACATAATAAAAATATAAACATATTCATGTAAACATAATACAAAATTTGTTTTTAACTGCTTTTTGAAAAGTGAAACTATGTCACAGATTTTTAGAGGTAAATTTGGGTCGCGGTAATAAAAAGATTGAGAACCACTATAACTACAGAATTACTTGCGCGTATTTACATAGGTACATACATTTTTAATTTTTTATACATGAATTTGTAAAATGTGTTATGTTCTGTAATTCAATTGTTTTTTTTTTTTTTTGTAAAAATATAGTTATACTCATTGTAAGTAATACATTAATCTAGAGATATGACTGTCTATAATAACAAAAAATAATTATTGAAAAAATGAACCGTCGCCTGGCAGATGTGAAACCTCGAATTTTTTTTTAAGAAAATGTATCCTTTATTAAAGACGCATTAGATGTCTCACGCTTTGAATCCATTCCGAGTATGCACACGTCGTGATCGAAACGCTTGTATTACACGCATGCGCGTGTAGAGAGCGTCGTCATATCGTCAAATAGTTTCACCCACAGCATTAGATATTTAACATCCGAAAATTGATGTTTTAAACATTCCTGAGTTTCCACCCCAGCCTTCTCAGAAATTACCAGGGTCGTTCACTGGAATTTCAAGGAGTGCCAACCCTGACAGACACCTATTAGATACTGAGGTACACCATTTAAGCGATGAGAAAAGAATAGAATTGTATATGATCATTTTATATAGGTATAGAATATTTATGTGACCCCCACCCCCTCATGACTTTTTTCAATATTTATAACCATATGACGAGTATTTGTAGTTGATATTTTTATAAAGAAAATCATTTGAATAATAATATTTTTTTTTTATATAATAATAATATGAATTCACAATTTTTGAATCCAAAATTATTTTATTCTGAGTATAAAAACAATAAGGAAGAGTTGGGAGGCCTGTATGGCTGCAGGGGTAACACTGTTTTAGTATGAAGGCCAAATGTTATGTTTGTGTAGGGTTGATATTGCCACCGTGTAAATCGTCACCCTCCACGTCACAATAGAACTTGATTTTTAATACCAACGTAAATATTTAAAAATACAAATTTATGAAAATTATTTAACTTGGATATAATAAAAATCTTAAAATGTAACAAAAATTATATGTGGGTTTGTTAGGATGGTTTTCTGCAAGCAGATGAAAACCATAAAAAAAATTGTTTGTTCCATAAGACAAAACTTCAGACCCTCTCGCCTTGAAGTATAGTTAGTCCTTTATTATTTAGAATTATTGTGTTGGCAACACTGTAATGGCCGGGTCTGATGTTGGCAGGAACTCGCCCTGCAGATGCAAAGACGCTCAGACACAATGGAGGCTGCAAAGGGAATCATCGTATTTCAGTAGGTTAATAAACGATTGTTGATTGAACAATTTTAATTTGTATCAACTTAATGATTTAATGTCAGTGCTTCTTTTCTATTATTCTTATTAATATCCTACTTTTGAAAAGAACAACATGATGCAACAAATAGCGGTAACTATATTCAACATATTATAATTATTGAGTCATGAGAATTTTGTATTTGATATATCACGATATTCTTTTTTCATTAGCTTTTACGAAATTGTCAACATTATCTAAAAATGTACTCATTGTTTTGAAATTAAAAAATTATAATTATAATAAAATTATTATATTTATTATATAAAATTTAACCTAAACAATAAAAATTGAATACAAAATTAATCATGAATTATCAAACGTTATTTAAAATGTAATATTATAATTGTTTATAATTATGTATATTTTTGATTAAGTAAATACTTATACCTTCATCTAATACAAGTATTAACTACTTGCCTTTATAGTATTTATATATTTGTAGTTATTTCACCAATGTAATATACATCTATGTTTAATATATGTAAAAATAAATATAAGCCGTGTTCAATAAACTACATGTATCGATGTATATAGGCATATAGCTAAACAGTTAGTATATAGGTAGGGTAGTCCGCATCTGCGCAACAGACCCACCCTCGATCAAAGACGCCATCGGTAGGCTTACGGCGCCCCCGCGTCATTTTCAAGAAGTACGGGGTTGCTATTGCGGAGATGAGGAATACTCTGCGTTCAATAAATATGACTGTCCTTCTAGGAAATTATTCATTGCTTTTTATACAATTGAACCAATTGCCTTTTTCTTGTTGATTCATTTAAGTTTTCATTTTTAAAATAATTTTGACATGAGTATAGTTGCATAACTTTAATAACCAGGAATAAAAGTTACTTATTGATTCTATCACACAGTATCAAATGAGAGCCGCCATCTTTTTACTGAAAATTATTAAGCGGATCATTTTTTGGGGGGGTAGTAAAGGAACGGTCCTCAAATGTTTCGACAACGCCATTCTCCCACCCATTAGAAGTACAAGTAGAGGAAAAACGCTCCTAGTGACAAATAACGTGACTAATGCCTAATATTGAATATGATTTTATAACACTTGTATAGATGGCGCTCTTACCCTTATTTTACCCCACAGCGGCTTTCGAAACATATGATGGTCACTGATAAGGTAACCGATACCACTCCAGTATATCTTAGTCTACTGTTTTATACGTCTATACTCCCTGCGATGCTCCTTATTAACCCGACAACACCGTAATATCGCCGGCTATTTATCGACCGTGGTTGATGCCACGCTCATTATTGTTTATTTATGTATTTTTCTCTTTTCATAAAATTTCTTTACGTTCAAATCATGAAGTTTAAAACATAAAATAAAATGACAATTGATTCTGTTCTACTCGTTGGTTGTGGCAACATATTTTAATCTTATTAACATAATTTGATCAAGGTATAGTAGTGCACAGTACAAAATATAATATAAGCTGAAGCTTTATTGTATATTTATTATTTTATAGTGGATGTTATCACCACTGTTCGACTGTCAAATTATTATAGGTATTTTATTAATGTAAAATACTTACACAAAAATCATTACAGTCTCCTAAATCAAATCTTATTAATTAAAAAAACATACGAAACAGGCAAGCCTGCTATAGTTGTAGGTCTCTGCTGTCACAACAACAAGCGTAAATCGGAGACAGTATACCAGATTCTGCTAGTTTGATGTGATAGATACTGGCACACATAGTGGGACTGCGAGGAAACTCACAAGGATGTAGCCAGAAAAATATTTTGTGTGTAGGGGAGGGGGTAGGGTATAAATATGTTGTATTATGTAATAAAATATGAAATTATAAAAATATTATTTAAATTAAGAACATGGCATTTTTTTAAAATTTCGGTAGGTTACTACGTACATTATCTTGTATTTCTACATTAATTATAATCTATTATATTTTAGTATACAGTTAAAATATATATATATATATATTAATTTAAAAAATATGTATATATATAAATAACGTACTACAATACTACTCTACTAATTTTATTTTCCTTGACTTATTTGAAAATCTTTTGATAACTTCTCTAAATTCTGTTTACGCACTTGTTAATTACTACATGGCATTTTACATTTTAATTATTATATACCTATTCATAGTTCATACTATGTTTATGTATGTGTACAGTGTAATTAAAAATCACTGTTATTTTACTAATTTAATGTATTGTGTTTGTTTCCAGTGCATTTATAAACATAACCTGAGAATACCTATCAGTCGAAATGATAAATAGTGACTCTCAAAATTCAAACTAAACCCACGTTATTATAGCTATGACAGACTATAATGACAAATATTTTGTCAATTTATGGAATGGAAACATTCAATAAGGATAATTCCATTAGGTTAATCGACAGTCATTGGTTAAAATGCATCTGTCCAAGCGCCACTTCGTTCTACGTATGAAGAATTTTGTATGGCATTATGATGTTTGGCCAAATCTGAAACTATAGAGTAACTTCTATCATTATCAAGTTAGTATAAATATGTTATTTTCGTCTTAAAAGCGATCAAAATTTAAGCTTTAAACATCACAAAACATTTAATATAAAGCTGGTCTATAGTGTTTCAATTTACATTATTAATTAATGGTAGCTTATATGTGGACTTGAAAATAGCCATGTCATATCATTAGGCAGGACACCGCACAAAATATGAATGTTCGACTGTGTTTGACGTGTTATGTTATAAAAATTATTATAATCGCACAATGATTTAATTAAAAAATAACATTTTGTTTATTTTTATTTTTCATTTTATGTGCATTTATATGTGCATTTATTTTATGTGCATTTTTATGTGCATTTTTTGTGTTGATAATAAGAAATAAGTGATAACCTTGAAAAGAGAATTTTGATTTAGTGTTAATGGAGTATATTTTAATATTTATACTATATAGGGACATACTACATGAGTGTTTTTTCCATAATTGGCTCTATGATTTATGCTGTATGACATTTAATTATTAACCCGTTGAGTGTCGAATTAATTTTTGCCAGTGGCTCTTCCTAGACCACATAAATTTCTTTTTTTATTTTATATTCATGAACACAATAATATAATGTTTAAAAATCAAAATAAAACATTTGGTCTAATATTTCCAAAGTTATTGCACATTTAGGTTTTAACATTCATAAACTGTTTCTGAACTTGTTGCTAATACAATTGTTAATATAAAAAATTTATAAACAAAGCATTTGGTTGTCACTGAATAAACGTAAAAATTTATTGATTCATAATGTCTTTGATATATATCCGATATTTTTTTTCTGAGTTCTTTGGATTTGTCTTTAAATTTTGCAATCGGTTGTCACTGTAGTATTTATAACATTAGTTGTTGAATTTTTAAAAGCACAAACGCATATATTATAAAACTAGTCTTATTACCCAAAGATTGTACGTCTCTGAGCAACAGTGACCTTTCGGTATCATCTCCCTTGTGCCTTGTCTCCCATAAATCACTTATTCCTTTTGATTGTAAATTATTATAGTTTTTATATTTATTTATTCTCTTTGTTTTTCGTCTTCTCTGTGTGACAAATTGTTGTCCAGCCTTTTGCCTTACATTATTATGTTAGTTTGGTTAATTGGGTTTGTTAACTCCCCACGGTCAATGTCCGTTTTTTCTACTTTTTACTTCCTTTTCGTATGCTCGTTTTCGGCAGATCTTATATTAGCATTGTTACTATTTTTCATATATACTATAAATGTTATGTTAATTTTTGTTTTTTCGTATTTTCGTCGCAATTGCGGCACGGTAGACTGTTGTTTATCTTTTGTCTTGTGCAAGAATTAATTGGGCACTAAAATTTGGTTGGATGGTGGAAATTAGTACTTTTCATGTCCTACCTTAATGAAAACCAACGGGAGATACAACTCAGGTTAGGGTATAGCACTAACTTATGATTTTTACCCTGGACGCACTAATAATGTAGAAGTATAACTGAAATGAGTACTTTCCAAGCTCAAACCTATATTAAACATTCCGAAAATTAATAAACTTTAATTTTATATTTATCTTGTTTAAGGGCACAAAAATGTATTCGAAAGAAAAATTGAAGTCGCCTTCACCATCGAAACAAGAAATGACTACAACCTATGTTATTGACATCAACAGTGATATTGGATCCTATTTATTAATATTTTAAAATGGTAATAGCTTCACTTCTTAATAATTTATTTGAGGTAGATGAATATGATTTAAAAATTGTAAGATATGAAATTTAAGTTAAAATTTTGACGAAATTGGGTGATCAAATGAAAAATAATGGTTCAACATAAAAAATTGTTGTTTTAAAAAAATGTTTACTGTGGAAACATGAAACATTTTATAATAATTCTGAAAACATAAAGAATAATTTTAAGCTATTCATTATAAGAGTTTTTGAAATGTTTGAGTAAGAAATTGAAATTGAAATAATGAAAATATGTTAAAGGTTCCCAAAAATATGTTCTTAAATCAAATCAAAATTGAAGTCACGATTTATTTGTATTAGTATTTTATAATGACATATTATATAATGTATAATAATGTATAATGTATGTTCGTGGAATTATGAGTTTTAATACACATAAAGCGTAGGAATTTTGGTTTGTTATTATGTTGAAGTGTTTGAAAATGAACTGATAAATCTACTATTAAGAGCTTTACAATGATATGGAGAGGCACTGATAGTTGAATTGGACATAGCGAAGTGTACAAAAATAGAGTTGGTAGCAAAAATGTTAAAAAGAAGATGGATATCATATTATACTAAAGGTATCAGTAGAAATAAAACTGTTGATATTGTTATGGACGGCACATGTGTTGATAGACATACCTGTCATTAAAAAAATATACATTTTACAACAGACCATAAATATTCCATCACAATTACATGACACGAAGACAATGGATATTAAGTTTCCAATAACGTTCCTATAAGAAGGTACAAAATATATTCCGCAATGTTGAGAGTAGCATTTCTACAGACGTCAACCAAATGAACAATCAATGTTTTTGTTACCTAGGTAATTAAATTTTTGTCAAAACTCACACTAGTGCACGAAGTTATTTTTACGACAATCGTCGGGAACACAAAAACCTTCTAACTATTTTGTTGTAAAAATTCATACAATTTGAAGTTAAAGTTT